CGTGAACTAGCTCGAGCTTCCTTCACGCGATACTTGGGCGCCTTTGGGAAAGGTAGCCTCTCTCGCTTCTCGGCTAGGGCGGCACCATCACCGGCTTCGCCTCGCGTGTTTGATGTGGGGTAGCCGTCGGACCATCTTCCCCAGCCGACCAAGCGCGTCGAAGTTGAGATGTCCGAACCGGGCATGCCACATCCACGGTTCCTCGGAGTGCCTTGCCGCCAGGCAAACCGGCTGCTCTACCTTCAGGTCGAGCAGGTACAACCGGTTCAGGGACCTCTTCACCTTGGCGAGAAGTCGCTGCTCCTGGTCTCTGATCCTCAGAACGCCGTCCTTGATCAGAACCTCGCTACCGCGTTCATCCAGCTGACCAATGCTGATCATGCTGGAACGCAGCTGCGGGATATAGTATACATCCGTTAGCGCGCGGTGCTCCCTGTTCTGGCATCTGAAGATGATGGTGCCGCGCCCTTAGATAGCCACCCTTGAGTCATCACCAAACTTCACCGTACCGGTAACATCACCGTCGAGCTCGGAGAAGGAGTCCTTGGAGCCCGTCATGTGGTTACTGGCACCAGAGTCCAGATACCACCGCTGCTCCTGGTCGACGCCCACATGCCCAAGATGGACTTGGGCACGTGGTTCGTCGAGGTTGACGATCTTCAGGGCCTTGCTAGATCCTTCCACCGTCGTCGCCTCTTCCCTCTCCATGGCCTCGGCGCCGTGCGAAGGTACGTAAGCGCCGCCATAAGGATAGTGGCCTCATCCTCATCATCGGCTTTCGCCGGTGAGCTGAGCCTTCTTTTCCTTCTTGCGATTTGGGCACTCTCGTGCCCAATGGCCCATCTTCCCGCAACACCGGCGAGCGTTGAGTCGATTTGCTTCTTCTCGAAGAAGCCCTACCGTGATGTTTGCCGTTGCCACCGCTGACCGGAGGAGGCTGCCTTCCGGAGTTTTTACGAGCACGACCCACTCCTCTTCGTCGCCGCCAGGAGTTTCTCGTCGTCGCCGTTCTTGTCGCCGCTCGCTAGGCGCTCGTCCACTTCCCGCAGACGGCCTGCCACATCCTCGATGGTGAGGGTGGACAAGTCCAGCATCGTCTCTATGGAGAGAGCGATCTGGATGTACTTTGCCGGCACGGAGTGGAGGAATTTGGAGACCGCCTCCTCTTCATCGATGGTGACGCCGTGGCTCTTCAGCTTGCTGATGAGCGTTTGCAGGCGGAGGGAAAAGTCCTCCACTGTTTCACCATCCTTGAACTTGAGGTTTGCATACTCCTGCTTCAGAAGCTGGGCCATTGCCTTCTTTGCGTGGTCGGAACCGACGCGCATTGCCGCAATGGCCTCCCACGCCTCCTTAGCTGAGCTCTTCGTCCCCAACGGTTCCCTGTACTCCGCCGGTACAGCAGCGAGGATAGTCTCCAACGCTGACATGTCGTCTTCTTCCACGTCGGTGCCCTTGTCAACAGCATTCTAGAGCCGTCGGGCTCTGAGCTTGACCTTCATGATCATCGACCACTCTCCATAGTTAGTGCGAGTCAGCGTCGGCCAAGTGGTGCCGCTGACCTCCCACACCGTGCGGACAACTACCTCCGGTAGTGGCTGGGCAACTATGACAGTGCCACTGCCATCGCCCAACTCCAAACTGCCTGTCCTCGCCATCAGTTAGAATGACGACGGCGCTTGTACGGCTTTGATACCACTTGTTGGCCCACGGGACCACCGTTTGACGATAGTGAACTAATCTCCAGACCACTAGTCTCAGACCACTAGTCTCCCAGACCAGACCACTAGTCTTCTCAGACCACTAGTCTTCTAGACCAGACCACTAGTCTTCCCAGACCACTAGTCTTCCAGACCACTAGTCTCCTAGACCAGACCACTAGTCTTCCCAGACCACTATACCGGTTGTGTCCGTACCCACACACTACGGATCGAGCTAGAAGAAGAAGGGAGAACAGAGCAAGCACGCACAATACAAGACAACAACATTGACCGAGGCCCTGTCTGTGTGATGGCAAATCTGAGCTCTCTTTACTGAGTCGCCTTGGTGTCCTATTTATACAACTCTATCTATCTAACTAAAGTACAGCGCACATGCTATAACAGTAACTCGATAAGTATACAGGGCTGACTCTGCGCCGGCCACTGCATGTGCCTACAGTGCTGCAGGTGAGCCATGCGACGCCTACACCTGCAGCGGCTACTGTATTACAGCAGGGGGCAAAGTCGACGCCGCCTTCCTCTACTGTATTTCACACAAGGTGGCAGTAGATTAGGTAACACTGAGAATGATGGCGGACGAGTAATGGAAGTAACGGTGATGGGCACGCACAAGACGACAGTGGGGCTACGATTTTTCTCTAGTTTGTTTATATGTGATGCCGATACATTGAATCGGATAATTTAAGTGGATATTTTATAATGCATTTTGAATGGTTGATTAAATATATTATGTGGGCTTCAACTCCGTGCGGGTTACATGGGCTGCTTTGATCTATAATGTTTGGGCTCTTTTGATGGGCTGTATGAAATTAAAATTCTAGTTGCGTGGCCTATTATGCTGATGGGCTGGAGAAAATTTACACCGGCTGGCATTAAAATTGGGTCGAAAAAAATTCTTGGCATTAAAATTGGGTCGAAAAAAATTCTTGTGGGCTACGAAGTGGGCCGAAAATAAAATTTAAGAAAGCTAAACAGGCTGAAAGACTACAAATAAATGGGCTGCTATGTAAAAAAACAGGTCAAACAATGTTTTGGGTCTGTTATACGTTTGCCAACCACGTGGGGCTTAACAGGCCATATTTTAATTTTATGACATTTATTGATCTGCCAACTCAGCGCCACGTCATATGCCTACATGGCATGAGGCAAGGTTTTGTGACAATACACTAATGTCAAAATTTGTGACGTTAGATATATAAACGTCACATAATAAATTTGTGACGGTGGCTTTTTGATGTTTGGATTTTCGTCAACTAGATGTCACAACTCTTAAATTATGACATAAATTTCATATATTATGACACATTAGAATGTCAAAAAGCCACATATTTCTTGTAGTGTAAAAATCATTTTTTACGTAGTGCTGCCCGCACCCCCGTGTAGGCATGCTACTGTGACTGCCCGCACGCCTACGCGTGCTTCACGTGGGGTCCCGCACGCCACTCCGTTTCCCACACCTGCCGCTCGCACTCCCTCCACACCTACGCGCATGTAGGCGGGCCCACCAGCTACAGCAGGCGGCTGCAGCTGATGGGTCACACTGCAACATATGCAATACCAGATCTACTTTTGCAACATCTAGATGAAACATTTGCAACATACATGTGAAACAGCTGAAACACTTACAACATACGTCTGAAACACTAGGAAAACACGTGTATAGCCACCGCAAAACATATGCAATCCAGATAAACAGTTGCAACATGTGTGAAACATATGCAACATCCGGATGAAACTCTTGCTACATATCTTACTTGACTTTGCTTTTGCTAGAGAATATTGGCTCCTACTTGGTTTACAAATCCTGAGTAACAATCAACCATTTCGAGCCCTAGAAAATAACTTTTGTTGTACCCTTTTGCTAATGTGTTGGAGCACTTGGACAACAAGAACGAACTCATTTTTAACTAACCATATAAGCTCACAATAGCTCCTTCAAAGCACTTGGCTGACAACACTGTTTTAGGCCTTTCTTCTTTTATTATTGTTTGTGGTCTTTTAAGTGTCCTTATGTGCCGGTCAGGCGCCTGCTGCGCCTGCCTGCACCCCCGCGTAGGCATGATACTGCACTCGCCCGCACGCCTACGCCTGCTTCATGTGGGGTCCCGCGCGCCGCTCCGTTTCCCGTGCCCTGCCGCTCGCACTCCCTCCACACCTATGCGCATGTAGGCGGGCCCACCAGCTACAGCAAGCGGCTGCAGCTGATGGGTCCCACTACAACATGTGCAACACCAGATCTACTTTTACAACATCTAGATGAAACACTTGCAACATATGTGTGAAAACAGTTGAAATACTTACAACATACGTCTGAAACACTAGAAAAACACGTGTATAGCCATTGCAAAACATATGCAATCCAGATAAACACTTGCAACATATGTGTGAAACATATGCAACATCTGAATGAAACTCTTGCAACATATGTGTGAAACATATGCAACACCCATATAAAACACTTGCAACATACGTTTGAAACAACTGAAACATTTAAAATAATACACTTACAACATACGTGTATAGCCATGGCAACATATGTAACATCCACACGAAACACTTGCAACATGCATATGAAACACCTAAAACACTTGAAACATATGCTTGCTACATGTGTAACATCTTCTTGCTACTTAGGTGAATCAAGGCTCGTCGACACTGAGCTTGACGTCGGCACAAAGCTCGATGCCACGGAGGTCACCAGTGCGGAGCTCATCGGTGGCGTAGACCTCGCCGGCAGCAGTGCGCGTAGAGCTCAGCAACGATGCATGGATGTCGGCAGCGCAGAGCTTGCTAGCAACACGGGGCTCTCTGGCGGCAGTGTGCGGAGCTCAGCGGTGACGCAGAGCTTGTCGACGGTGCACAGAGGGTGGGTGGGGTATGGCCGTGACACGCGCGGAGGGGGTGACTGTGCGAGTTCGAGACGGGGAGGAGATGCACAAGCTCTACGATATCCTTCCTCTCCCTGTTGCTCTGAATGGAGAGGCGAAGGAGAGAGAGACCAGATGGAACCGGAGAGGATAAGTATAAGTGGCCACCTAAGTACCTGACAGGAGTATCAAATATTTGTGTGGTGGGTGCAATACATGGACAATGTGAGGCCACGTAGCGTCATGCTTCTGGACGCGGGACAGATGCCCGCGGTGGAGCATAACCTTAGTACATGTTAATATATCGAGTAGTAGTGCATGCCCTTGTCATAATAGAAATCGAAATGCTGAAGCATATGTACCACGATATGCAGTAAAATCATTGGAGCTCGGGTCTACGGCATCGGACTGAATGACAGCCCCGGCTTGTCGCCGCTGGACAAGGTGGCCTCAGCAGCCACACAGCATCGATCGTGCCCGGCAGGGAGGTGTGCAACGTGAGCCTCGGCGGCTAGCTGCCGGCACTGCCCGTGGTGCCGTGCCGGGTGCTCGGCTCGCCATCTACAAGGTGTGCCACCACGGGGCTGCCATGACGCGGACATCCTGGCGGCGTTTGACGATGCCATCGCCGACGTCGACGTCATCTCCTACTCTATCGGTGATGTGGTCCCGTCGCAGTACTTCATGGACGCCGGCGCCATGGGCTCCTTCCACGCCAAGAGGCGCGGGGTTCTCACGTCTGCCGCTGCCGGCAACTCCGGGTTCGATGGCGGCCACGTCTCCGACGTCGCGCCGTGGATGCTGTCCGTCGGGGCCAGCAGCATCGATCGTAGGTTCGTCGACAAGATTGTCCTTGGGAACGGCAGGACTATAGTGGTCATTGCTCAATCGAAACCTTTCTTCAAGTTTTCTTTTTTGTCCTAGACTAGAAGCTGACATATATAGTACGCAGAGGGGGCCTCCATTAACACCTTCCCGCCGCTGCAGAATGCGACTCTTGCGCTCCCTATCAACGGGTAAGACTGGCAGGGCTGACAATGCTATGTGGAAATTTTGAATAAAGTTAATTCCTGCTCGTAGGTCATAATTTATATCCTCTTTTGCGCTGTAGTTCTTGTGAACCACAAGGTCTGGGCGGTGGTTCGTACAAAGGGAAGATCGTCCTCTGCCCGGCTGACAACGGCAGCCTTAACGATGGCACAGGTCCGCTCATGGCAGGAGCAGCTGGCGCCGTCATCGTCGGCTATTACCCCAACCTTGCCCTAAATGTGATTCTCCCCGCGCTCATGGTGACTCAGGACCAGTTTGACGAAATCCTGGCCTATATGAAAAGCAGCAGCTGAGTGTGAAAGTCCACTCCACTGTCAGCACATTTGGTATCAGTTTTCTAAATATATCCTCTTCAGAGGAATTTGATGCATCATGTACCGTACTTCCTCCGTTCTAAAATATAAGTCGTTTTAATTTTTTTAGTACATCGATTTTGCTTCGTATCAAGATACAACATATGTCTAGGCATAGTAAACTGTATGTATTAAAAAAAGTCAAAAAGACTTAGAACGGAGGGAGTAGTAAATATGCTAGCTATTTGAACTTTGACAGGAAGTGGATTCAATGGTTTCCTTTTTTTTCTGCAGTAATCCTGTGGGTACCATAGACACCACGGAGACAATGTTCGATCCTCAGGCTCCCATAGCCGCCTCCTTTCTTCTCCAGGACCTAACCTAATCACCCCTGGAATCTTGAAGGTGACATTTCACAAACCATCTTCTGTATAATTTGGCAAGTTACAAAAATAAAAGCAAAGCCATTGCAATAGGTTTTCTGTTCGCTAGAGCTAAATTATTTCTTAAATCTCTATATGATAATACCGTGTGCAACTGCACAGCCTGATCTAGCTCCACCAGGGATCACTACCGGAGACTGTGTAGTTACCGAGTGCCCCAACAATAACCGAGTGTCAAAAGTCGGGGCACTCGGAAAACAATACTTACCGAGTGCCAACACTCGGAAAACATAAACACCCGGTAGTCGACCGCTTTACCGAGTCAGCACACTCGATAAATTAAGACACTCGGTAAAACTACAAGTTTACCGAAGGGGCGCACTCGATAAAAACAGCCACTCGGTATTGAGGTGCCACGTCACCTAGGATAGCAACCGTGCGCCAAACGGCGTCACGGCATGACATGTTTACCGAGTGTTATGAGCATACACTCGGCAAACATCACGGTAACAACAGCTCCGCCCATCAAGCGCTCATAGCAAATAAAAAAGACCGAAAATGTTTACCGAGTGTCACACTCGGTAGAAGTATTTTCGCTCGGTAATAATAAAGTTTTACCGAGTGTAAGTGCACAACACTCGGTAAACACTATCTTTTACCGAGTGTATTGGCGCAACACTCGGTAAAATTCAACCAAATTTCTTGTTTTTCCCTTTATTCTTTTTCCTCTATCCACATATGATATTTAGTACTCCATTCCAAAATATGGTGTTTATTTCGATTTATTTACTATATTTCACAAAATTTTCATTCTTTATGAAAATTAGGTACATATCGTGTAAATTTAATTGTAATAATTAAAATCGAACTCGATAAATCACGAGATTGGAAGAATTAACATTGAAGCATACATCTATGTTATAGAAAAATTTTCATAACGTTTCGGAAGTATTTTTACATTCGTCGCTGTCGAACCGGTACATCTCCCAAAGAGACGCTAAACATTCACAATGACGAATAGGATTTATATTAAGAGTGAAATTCAACATTATGATTTGAACTTGGAATTTTTTAGATAGTAAATAGATGACATGAAATAGTTCATGTGAAAGTTTGGTGAATTTTAGGATTGAATTGGCATTTTTTCTTTTTTGTTTTGCATGAAATAATGGATACTTTTACCGAGTGTGACCTCAAACACTCGGTAAAGGTTAGCCATGGCCCACACATACTCGCCATAAGTGGGCTGTCATAGTTGCCTTTACCGAGTGCCATAGATCTAGGCACTCGGTAAACATGTACTGAAAGGCCACATGTCATTGAACAAGATTACCTCATGGTGCTTACATTTGCTTATCGAGTGCCGTAGATCTGGGCACTTGAAATGTAAGCATTCAACACTTAGCCGCTTCTCCCTCAAATCGTGCATGACACACACACACACACACACGCACACGCCCACAAGATCCCCGCCGCACCGCTGCTGCCTCGTCCCCAGCGGCGGCCTCGCCGCCCTCAAGACTTGCGCCGCGCGCCCATGCGCGCAAGCCCTCATTGTCGCTGGCGCCTCCCCACCGCCGTGGCCGCCTCCTCCTCCACGCCGTCGCCAGCGCCTCCCCGGCTGTCGCCGGCGCCTCACCCCCATGGCCGCCTCCTCCCTCCACCACCACCGCCGCCACTGGCGGTCCCCACAACCGCCGCCACCGGGAGGGCGGTCACCCGCCGCCACATGCAGGGACTGCATCAGTGAGTACTAGCGCCTCTCCTTACTGAATATTGTACGTCCTGACCATGCAAGGTCCTCAGTTTCCACATGTTTTCTTTCTTATAATCGTCAGACGTATTTATTTTGCTGGTGCTCCAAATTGGTGATTTGCTGGTTCTGATTTCACCGTGGCTGATAGAGTTGCAATCAGTAACATGATTATGCAAACGGGAAATGACTTTTGTGGTGAATTTTGGGGAAAACCTGTTCGCTGGGAGTCAGGGTGTCCTTATGATTTGCTGCTAACATATATGCTAGTCTTCTACAGTACTAAGTTGTGTCAACGCTACTATAGTACTTAAAAATCATCAAACCATGGTGGCAAAGTGGGCTGTGTTCTCTAATTGGGCCGGCTTTGGGTGGATCTGATCTCCATGTCCATGTGCCAGCCCCATGCTCCAAACTTCCTACTGTCTAAGACCAGACCTTTGTTCAGTGCCATTTTTTTTTTGTTAAAAAAGAAAAAAAAAATGATATTTTTTAGCATAGTTAAGCATTAAAAAATTTCAGATGTTTCGCACTCTTAGTGTGGTCCCAATGTAAATTAATTTCTAGAATCACTTTAAGTTAAACTATCTAAGTTTAGCTAACTTGATAGAATAGGTGCTTTTTTATTTTCTATAAATTTAGTTAAATTTAAATTACTCTTAACTTAAGATAACTCTAGAAGTTGATTTGATTTGGGAGAGCACATGTTTTCGGTTAATTATTTCCTGATGCCTGATGAAGTGATGATGCTCTCCCCTGTGTACTATAGACCTGCTGAACCTGAAACCGGGCTCGCCTCCCAAAGTTTAGCATTACGGAGGGAGTAGGCCATTGCTTGCACGCCCACTTCCTTACTTTTACCTCTCAAATCCTCAGCTCCTGGTGTATGTGTGTTTGTGTCAACTCAAATGTGGAGAGATCATGCATGTTTGCAAGAGGAGAGAGAAAGCAGCAAATTAGAGAGAGAGAGAGAGAGAGAGATGAAGTTAATAAGGAAATAAACAAAGTGAGTTCTTATTTTCTCTTCGATCAGCGTTGCCCGTTGCCCTATTGCAGGGTGCAGCAGCCATGGGTGGGGCCCCTAAAGCAGTCCTCTCTCTCTCTCTCTCTACCACTTTAGCATATCCTGCATTATTCATCTCTCTCTGCAGTGCCTGGGCTAGCCGGCCGCTGCCATCTTTTATCAGAGTGGGGAGAGTGGAGAATGTGGAGGCATGCATGGCACAGGACCGGCCTGCTGCAGCTGGTTAGTAGTAGTATGTTTGTGTGTGTCGATGATCCCCGGCCGGGCATGGCCAGCTTTGCAAGAATAGCACAGCGGTCTGCTGAACCTGATGAAGTGATTGATCAACTCAAATGGACGGCATTAATTCCCGGCCGGTCTGCAATTTCAGTGCCAAAATTATGTGTGTGCTGGCGCGCCTCACCTCATGATCATGCGTGCATGCATGTAAGATCGAGCTGTGTTTGATCAATGCATAGGGCTATATAAGGCAAGCATTCCATTGCCTTTCTCCATCTCATCGAGTCATCCATCTATCCATCCTCCAAACATGGCTGCGGCACTTGGGGGCCTTCTCCCCGGCGTCTGCGCCGTGCTGATGGTAATCGCCGTCGCAAGCGCTGCCTCCAGCGAAGCCTCCTCGGTGGTCGTCGGCCTCGCCAAATGCGCCGACTGCACCAGGAAGAACATGAAGGCCGAGGCGGCATTCAAGGGTATATAGAGTACTAGGAGTACATGCATTTAATTATGCTATAACATTAACAGTGCATACTGAATGCTTTACGCTGATCAGTGATTCGGTCAGAAGAAGCTAGCTAGCTGCTGCTGCTACTGACTGTCTTCTGATCGATCTCCTCAAAGGAGAAGCGGCAGTTTTTACCCTTTAGTGCTGCTGACACCGATAATAATTTTCATAAGCATACATGTTTATATATTGGTTGCCTTTCTGTCCAAAATATATGGAAATTATCCAATCTTTTGTTAATTTTTTTCCACATGATCCAGTCCAAGTTTCTCATGCTATCTACAAGTATGTACCTATCCCATCAACATGTATTCCACTTGCTAAATATATCACTCTTGTTGTCCAAAATCTTTGAACAATCTATTCATTAGTAACTAGGGCTTGTCATCGGTGATTTGTTTGTGGTAGTGTCATGCCATGTGACCTATAGTGCTGCGACAGAACCTAGCGCCCCTTTGTGTGCTAGCCACATGGTTGTGCTGCTAGGCGCGCGCTGGTGCTCGGGTATATGGTTGAGACACGCTACAAAACCTGCTGATGCTCTACCTCAATCTTCGATAAATCTTGCTAGTGATGTTTGTGGCTACAAAAAAATTGGTTCCATGTATTCCTCCATCTACAAGTGACATAGCGGCCTTTCAACCTTAGGTAAAATCTCATCATCCAATCTAGCAAACATCTTCTATGTGAATCGACCAAGAACATGAATGTCTCTTTATCATCTCATATGGTTTTTCTCTAGCACTACTACTCTATTGCTCTAAACTGCAATATCGTCTATATGTTAGGATGGATGACCGTCAGTGGATGTACACGGGCTATCGAAGAGGGTCAATACACAAATGAATGGATTGAGAAGGCCAATGATTTCATGACGAAGGCATTTGCAAACGGACGGCGACATGCCGTGTGTCCTCAGAGGAAGTGTAAGAACAAGGCAATGAAAACATATGAGGAGATGACTAAAGATCTTGTCAACAATGGATTTGTAGAGAACTATACCCGTGAACCATGCATGGTGAACGCCATCATCTTGAGAGAAGAGGTCGTGAGACAACGGATCGAGGAGTTTGATTCTGAAGCCGGGTGGCGAAATGTTAAATGACCATGACATGGCTTTCGATGAAGGAAGTGCAGAAAGCGAGAGCGAGCAAACCGCAAAGGCATTTTACGCCATGTTGGATGCGGCACAACAACCCCTTCACGGGCGCACCAATGTTTCTAAACTGGATGCCATTGCACGTCTAATGGTCGTGAAGTCCCGATTTAGCCGAGTAGAGAATCCTTCGATCAAGCTGTTGATGATGAGTTGGCACCCTACTTCCGGATGATCACGTTTCGCCAAAGAACACGTATGAGTCAAATAAAATCCTTCGTGCACTCAAGATGTCATACGAGCAGATACATGCTTGTCCGAACGGATGCATCTTATTCAGGGGAGAACATGCTGACGATAAGTACTGTCCAAAGTGTAAGGCATCTAGGTACATTGAGTTAGAATCTGGTGATGGTCGGAAGACGCAAACAAAAGTCGGCGCAAAGATCCTGAGGTACCTTCCTTTTCTACCGAGGATCCAACGGCTTTTCATGAGCGAGGAATCCGCAAAACAGATGACGTGGCACAAAACTAGACGCCGATACACTGACAAGATGATACATCTGTCCGATGGTGAATCATGGAAAAGCTTCGATCGGAAGCATACCAACAAAGCTGACGAGGCTCGTAATATACGCATTGCACTGGCAACGGATGGGTTCAATCCTTATGGAATGGGTTCTTCACCATACACATGTTGGCCCGTATTCGTCATCCCTCTCAACCTCCCACCTGGCGTCGCCTTTCAACGGCAAAATATTTTCTTGCCACTTATAATTCCAGGACACCCGGGGGCTAATATGAGTGTGTACATGGAGCCTTTGATAGACGATTTGGTCCGTGCATGGGACGAAGGGGTAGTGACATACGACCAATTCACAAAGACAAACTTCAGAATGCATATTTGGTACCATTATTCCATGCATGACTTCCTGGCTTATGGGTTATTTTGTGGCTGGTGTGTTCACACGAAGATGCCATGCCCGATATGCAAGTCAGCTGTGGAGTTCTTTCGGTTGGAGAAGGGGGGCAAGTTTTCTTCGTTTGACAAACATCGACAATTCCTCCCTCTTGACCACCCATTCAGGAGAGACAAGAAGAACTTTCGAAAAGGTGTCACAGTGGAAGACTCTGCACCAGAAATGATGATAGGTGCCCAAGTTCTTGAGATGTTAGATGGTCTTGTGGTCGACAATGAAAAGGGGGGCTTCATGGGATACGAAAAAGAGCATGCCTGGACACACAAGTCGTGCTTGTGGAAGCTTCCTTACTTTAAGGACATCCTTCTTCCACATAACATTGATGTAATGCACACTGAAAAGAATTTTGCCGAGGCGGTCCTTCACACAATCATGGATTGGGAAAAGTCAAAGGACAATGTCAAGGCTAGATTGGATCAAGCAACGCTGTGCGATAGACCAAAGCTAAACATGTTGCCTCCCTTACGCGGGAAGTCATGGAAGAAGCCTAAGGCCGACTTCGTCCTAATGAGGGCCCAAAAGAAAGAAGTTCTTCAATGGTTCCAATCGTTGATGTTCCCTAACGGGTATGCAACGAATTGGAGGAGGGTGTGAACTTAAGTACCATGCGAATCACAAGGCTCAAGAGTCATGATTACCACATATGGATTGAGCGCCTTCTTCTGGTGATGGTTCGTGGCTATTTCCCTGATCACATCTGGTGAGTGATGGCAGAGTTGAGCATGTTCTTCCGCAAGCTATGTGCTAAGGAGATATCTCGGACCGAGATTGAAGAAATGGAAAGAATGGCCCCGGTGTTGCTCTGCAAGTTGGAGAAGATCTTTCCCCCCGGCTTCTTCAATCCGATGCAACATTTGCTCTTGCACCTACCATATGAGGCAAAAATGGGGGGCCCTGTGCATGCCCGTTGGTGCTATCCAATTGAGCGATGCCTAAAGGTTCTTAGAACAAAATGCAAAAATAAATGCAAAATTGAAGCTTCCTGTGCAGAGGCATCCATTGTGGAGGAGGTGTCATACTTCACAACAAGATACTATGCCGACAACCTTCCTAACGTGCATAATCCACCCCCTCGTTACAATGCTGCCGACAATCAGTCGACCCTCAGCCTTTTCCGAGGGCAACTCGGAAGTGCAAGTGAACCTACCTTGAAGATGTTGAGCCTAGAAGAGTGGCGCTCTATCCAGCTGTATGTGTTGCGGAACCTTGAAGAGGTTGGCCCGTACATTGCGTAAGTTTTACACAAACTTGTTTCTTTTCTTGTCAATATTTCGCATGCACCCATCCAACCCTCTTGTTAACGGCTGTTACATCAAATTTGTTCTCCTCTACCATCGTCCATCACGGAGGGAACCCACCGAAGCGGAAGTTGAAACCCTTCTAAGACATGACGCGGGAGAACGAAATCCCACTTTTATTTGTTGGTTCAAGGAGGAGGTACTGTTCAATTTCATTTGTTGTTTGTACTTAACTCTCAACTCGACAAATATATAACGAATCATCCTACTTGAACTAGCAGGCCAAAACTGACGTGTCTATGAGTGCCGAGTTGAGGCAAGTTGCCAATGGATTTGAATTTAGGGTCAAGTCATTCTCTGTGTACGATGTCAATGGATATCGCTTTCACACAACTCGGCACGAGCAGAGTCGGCCGAATCGAAGAACCACAAATACCGGTGTTTTCACGCCAGGCACAGATGGGTTGGACTACTATGGAATAATTGAAGAAATATACAAACTCAAGTTTCCTGGTTGTGTACCTCTTCGTCCTGTCATATTCAAATGCCATTGGTTTGATCCCAAAGAAGTGATAAAGACCCCTGAGCTTGGGTTAGTCGAAGTTCTAAAGTCATCCGTCTTGCTAGGAGACGACGTGTACATTGTGGCCCAACAGGCCACGCAAGTTTATTATCTCTCATACCCGTGCCAAACCAAAGACCGTCTTAAGGCGTATGATGTTGTGTACAAGGTATCGCCGCATGGTAAAGTACCCGTCCCAAATGATGATGATTATAACATCGATGCAAACACATATGACGGAGAGTTCTTTCAAGAAGAAGGATTAGAAGGGAGTTTTGAGATTGTCTTAGATGTAGATCTCGCAATGGAAGTAGACAATGATACGGTCATTGTTGACGGGGATGATGGAGAAGAGGTTCACAACGCGAAGGACTTGTTATTACTTGAGCAACACCATTCAGGCAGTGTCGCTAGTGATGAGACTTTGAGAGACGATCATAATTACGTCGACAATAGCGATGATGAGATTTTTGGCCCACCTATCGATGATCTTGATGATTATTTCTAGTACATGTAAGATCTGTAGTACTTATGGCAATTTTATACATGTATGATACATTTACTTATTTTGCATCTCTTTTATACATGTATGATACATTTACTTATTTTGCATCTCTTTTATACATGTATGATACATTTACTTATTTTGCATCTCTTTTATACATGTATGATACATTTACTTATTTTGCATCTCTTTTATACATGTATGATACATTTACTTTTGTATATGCGTACTGATAGTTTATTCCTTTTGTTGCAGGTGATTGATGGTGGGCGGTGGAATCAGGAAGATTAGGTCGGTTATGACCTTACTGGCTGGTGGCGAGACTGAGGGTGGAGGGCGTGCCCATGGAGGAGGAGGAGGACGACGATGAGGGCGTGCCCAGGGAGGTGGAGCCCAGGGTGGAGGTGGAGCCCAGGGTGGAGGAGGAGCCCAGGGTGGAGGAGGATGGCGACGACGAGGGCGTCGAGAGCCGACACCTCCTCCACAGGACGACGACGACGAGTTCGTAGCGGCCACGGAGGAGGATGATGAGGAGGAGGAGACCAGGGAGGAGATAGCGGAGGCGGTGGAGGAGGCACGGAGGGAGGATGAGGCCGAGCGGGCTGAGCGCGAGGAGGATGCCGACTTGCTGGCAGAGGAAAATGGGGTGCCTATGGTTTGGCTGCGAGGGTCGTCGCGCCTCCTAGACTTACCCATACAGAGACGGCCAGTGATTCGACCCTCCGGAACTAAGTAAGTAATTTTTGCATGTTAACACTACTTCACAGGTTTTTAAGTTATAACAAAAACTAATATTCAATCTCAATAACTTTGTGCATGGATTGGGAAATGGTGATCCCAGGGAGTCACTCTCGCCGAGTAAACAGGATCCTGGGTCTTCTGTGCAGGGCAAACTACCCCGGGATGGTGAGGATCGATGGTGTTGTGCAGCCCGCCATGAAGTGGTCCCACTGGCACGCCGCCAGCGATCAGAC